AATGTTGTATGGTGTATCTCTTAGATTATTATCACACATGTGCATGGGTTGGACAGTGAAGAAGTTAGAAAAGCAAAATATGGGACCTTTAAGGCTTTGAAGTTTCTTCTAATAAGACAAAAGTGTCTATCTAGTACTGCTTAATAACCAGACAGCAGACTTCCGCCTCTGTCAGAGGTGACTTGTGATGGTGTAATGTGTTACTGGTGTTCCTGGGTGTGACCACGCTGCCATTGCTGCCCCTCGGTGCTCACTGAGGTCTCAGGACCAGTGAGAACCACGTGTGGTCCGAGGTAAACGCGCTCTCATGTCTGTTGATGGTCCGTGCTCCCTGCTTCATGTAATTAATTCAGGAAGGTTGTTCTCATTACCATCAATGTTCTGTGCCTGAACCTTATTCTTCCAGTCTCACAATACTTTTTAGTTTTTCACTTTTCAAGAAGAAAAGAGACACCAAACTCAATCTGCTCTATTGTGGCTGAAGTATTAAATGCAAGTTAAATATAACTTTAAAAAAGCAAGCACCTCGCGCCCCTCAATTTCTTGCAACATCTTTGGATAGTTTGAAGTGAACTGAATAATAAAACCCCAGTTACATTATGATGTAACTGAATGTGTTTGGTTGTGTCAGGACACTGCTGGTTAAGCACTCTGGTCTTGGACCGTCTGATAATAATGTGTTTTGCATTGGCGTTTGGGGCAGAATGCTAACCTCTCACACTGACTACCACAGGTGCATCAACCGCAATCCCACATCAAAGTTATATGAAGTATTTATGTTTGCATTAGAAAGTCTTGAGCTGAGAGCGAACTCCATGATCATATCACAGGGACTGATTCAATACCAGGCGGGTGGACAGAGGGGCAGCGAACAAACAACGGCCTAAAATCACATCAAGATTTTCTGATGTCGTATCTCATTCTGCTACGCCTTCTCGTGCTGGGACACCTTTTCAGAATAGCATGGACCTCTTAATTCCTGGTCTTGGATACCCCTTGGCTCGGTGCTCTTGGCCACATGATGATGACTCCATTAGTATGTATGTTTTGTCAGTGTTGATGAGCAGCAACTATCAAGGTAATGGACCAGCGCCGTGTCCTCTGTTTATGAGGCGTTATTCAGGTGCCATTCATTCTGGTAAAGATGATTTCTTTTAATCTATTGGTTGATTATGCAAAGCGACTTGATCTACATACAAATGGATTTAGGCTTTGACCTATATCAAGTGAAGTCACTAAAACTGCAAAAGACATTTTTCAATTCAATTACAGAATACCCAACAACCTTTTTCACATTTTGTCACATTATAACCACAAATGTAATTTTTTTCAGACCACACTAAACTGATAGATACATGAAAATAAAATGAAAGATGATACATGATGTTATTACTCATCATAACAATTTAAAGTGTGGCTGGTAAATGTAAGCTGTTGATCACAGCTTTTCTATGATGGCCTCAGGGGTTTGATTGAAGAATATTGGTCACTAAACAGCATCATGTAGTCCATGGAACACACCGGAGAGGTCACACAGAGAGAACATCTGTGAATGGAAATAGCTAGACGCAACTGACAACCTACCAAGACACAGCTGTCTGCCAAAACTTCCAGCTCAAACCAGGAACACATTGATTAAGAGATCCATGGTAACGCTGGGCGGACATCCACAGCTCCCAAAGGAGAATCTGTGCATGGGGCCAATAAGATAAGATAAACCTTTACACGTCCCTCAGAGGGGAAATGTCAATGTCATAGTTGCGCAAATTATAACAGAAAAGAAGGAGGTATACAAGCACTCAGATTATGTACGCATCAAACATCTATTTTTTTTTTATCATAATGGATAATATAGTACGATAATAATAAGAAAATAAACTCTGGCGATATAATTGGACTTGGATCTTTATGAAATCCAGAAACAAACCAGATCCATAAACTGCCTCTCACAAATGCTCTCCATTAAATTCATAAACAAATTGACTATCTATATTGATTGTTGTCAAAATGTAATGTGTTTTCATACATATCTTTTTCATATTTATTATCTGCATACTCCCATCTAAAACTATTGATATTCTCATTTTTGTTTAAGCCAAAGGATAAATATTTGACTTCAACTGTAACATATTTTTTCGTCTGGCGACAGTGACTCAGTTTGTAGAACATTAGCCTCTGGACCTGAAGGTTGTGGGTTCGAGCCCACCACGAGACATACTTCCCAACTCCCACTGATGACTGCTCTCGTTGTGTCCTTGGGCAAGACACTTAACCCCACTTTGCCTGAAGCCCCCACTGAAAGATCTCAGCTCCTGTGAACTCACCACCTGCAGGAGGATCAGTGAGGGGCTGGTGCTCTGTGTACTGGTGCAGCGCTGGATGGATGGATGGATGAAACTTATTGTAATCTGAAAGTTAGTTTTTCACGAATAATATCAGTATAGCAGATAGGTTTACATTTAGTTTGTAAACCCATTGATTTAGATATGCATGTTTCTTTTATTCAGTAAATGCTTTTAGATTTCCTATTTTTAATGATTTAAATTGGTGCTATATGACCCTGTCTCCCACACACTCTTTACCAATTACTCTTATAAATTCTCATTTCAGTGTCACGACCTCAGACCTAATGACTTTCTCAGTCACCAAACCATTTACTGGTTTACTGTCACATTCATAACTTCACATATTCCAAGGAAACCAGTGACTCTTGATATCTGTCTGAAGAAACCTTCAGACACCTAACTGTGAGCTCCAGTTCATGTGTTCATAAGAGCAGAGACAGGCAACGCAATTAGTTACATTGTAGTATCCAGACACAGAGTAATGCCATGATGGAAATAGAAAACGTGGATTGAAAATTGGAGGCTTTTATTAAACACCATAATCTACTACAGGCAGGATGTATTCTTATGTAATTGATGGATGAAAACCTTGCACCAGAAGTAAGCTGACAATGAAGATGAGCATAATGTGGGGAGGTATACACATTCTCTTATTATCGAGACATCTGGTTGCTCTGGAGTGATTATAGCAGAGGAAGTGTGCAGTATAAGGTCCTCTCTGATCAGTAGCATATAATTGCTGCAGATGTCAATCCTATCACCAGTACATTTGTGAGGTATTTATATGTATTCTTTATTTTGTTTCACTATTAATTAATCATGACAATAGTAGGATGTAACACCTCCTTTCCAAGAGGTTATCATTCAATAATAATAATAATAATAACCATTTAATATGTATAACCATTACATGTTATTATTGTGGAAAAGGACCCCATTCTCTAAACAATGAAACCAAATGTGATTACCAGTGATAATAACAACCCATATTCCACAACTATTTGCTCAAAACACCTTCATAATGTAAACAGTTTGAGCTATAAACCTACCTTCCACACAAATATTTAACACTGGCATTCATGTTTCCCATCATTGGCAAATGATGCTCTGTTAATATTTTTGTTTATATTAATATAAATATTGTAGTTATATTGTATGACTTTATCTTATAAGTGGCTTCCACTGTGGAAATTAGATTATAGTATAACAAGAAAACGGGCTGTTGCAGAGGCAAAAACCCGGGACTGGGAGGAGTTCGGAGAGTCCATGGAGCATGACTATCGGTCGGCCTCGAAGAGGTTCTGGCAAACCGTCCGGCGCCTCAGGAGGGGAAAGCAGTTCTTTGCCAACACCGTGTATGGTGCGGGTGGAGGGCTGCTGACCTCGACTGGGGATATTGTCGGGCGGTGGAAAGAATACTTCGAGGTTCTCCTCAATCCCCCCGCCACGTCCTCCGTCCAGGAGGCAGAGGCTGAGGATGTTGGGGCGGACACTTCTATCTCCCTGGCCGAGGTCACCAAGGTGGTTGGCAGCCTCCATGGTGGCAAGGCGCCGGGAGTGGATGAGATCCGTCCTGACTATCTAAAGTCTCTGGATGTTGTAGGACTGTCTTGGCTGACACGTCTCTGCAGCATCGCGTGGCGATCGGGGGCGGTGCCAATGGAGTGGCAGACCGGGGTGGTGGTCCCTCTCTACAAGAAGGGGGACCGGAGGTTGTGTTCCAATTATCGTGGGATCACACTCCTCAGCCTCCCCGGTAAGGTCTACTCCAAGGTACTGGAGAGGAGGCTACGTCCGATGGTCGAATCTCGGATTCAGGAGGAGCAGTGTGGTTTTTGTCCCGGTCGCGGAACACTGGACCAGCTCTATACTCTCCATCGGATACTCGAGGGTTCATGGGAGTTCGCCCAACCTGTCCACATGTGCTTTGTGGATTTGGAGAAGGCGTTCGACCGTGTTCCCCGGGGTGTCCTTTGGGGGGTCCTCCGGGAGTACGGGGTCCGGGGTCCTCTGCTGAGGGCCGTCCGGTCCCTGTATGACCGGAGTCAGAGCTGTGTTCGCATTGCCGGCAGTAAGTCAGACCTGTTCCCGGTGCATGTTGGCCTCCGCCAAGGCTGCCATTTGTCACCGGTTCTGTTCACTGTATTTATGGACAGAATTTCTAGGCGCAGCCAGGGGCCGGAGGGGGTCCGGTTCGGGAACCACAGGATTTCATCTCTACTTTTTGCGGATGATGTCGTCCTGCTGGCTCCAACGAACCAGGACCTGCAGCATGCACTGGGACGGTTTGCAGCCGAGTGTGAAGCGGCTGGGATGAGAATCAGCACCTCCAAATCCGAGGCCATGGTGCTCGACCGGAAAAAGGTGCCTTGCCCTCTTCAGGTGGGTGGAGAGGTCCTTCCTCAAGTGGAGGAGTTCAAGTATCTCGGGGTCTTGTTCACGAGTGAGGGAAGGATGGAGCGTGAGATTGACAGGCGGATCGGTGCAGCGTGCGCAGTGATGCGGTCTCTGTATCGGACCGTTGTGGTAAAGAGGGAGCTGAGCCGAAAGGCGAAGCTCTCGATTTACCGGTCAATCTTCGTTCCCTCCCTCACCTATGGTCATGAGCTGTGGGTAATGACCGAAAGAACGAGATCGCGGATACAAGCGGTCGAAATGAGCTTCCTCCGCAGAGTGGCTGGGCGCTCCCTTAGAGATAGGGTGAGGAGCTCAGTCACACGGGAGGAGCTCGGAGTAGAGCCGCTGCTTCTCCACGTCGAGAGGAACCAGTTGAGGTGGCTCGGGCATCTGTTCAGGATGCCTCCTGGACGCCTTCCTGGGGAGGTGTTCCGGGCACGTCCCACCGGGAGGAGGCCCCGGGGAAGACCCAGGACACGCTGGAGAGACTATGTCTCTCAGCTGGCCTGGGAACGCCTTGGGGTCCCCCCGGACGAGCTGGAGGAAGTGTGTGTGGATAGGGAAGTCTGGGCGTCTCTGCTTAGACTGCTGCCCCCGCGACCCGGCAACGGATAAAGCGGAAGAAAATGGATGGATGGATGGAAGAAAACGGGTCCAATGAGCATAATCCAATGTGGTGCCCAGAGAGTTAAGATAAGATAAAGTTTATTGATCTCAAAATGGAGAAACATACAATAATAATAATGGCCCACCCTTGCACTGGAGAAAGTAAGGGGAGCTGGGTCAGAACTAAGACTATAATGGAGACTGTTCAGGGTTTGAGCCTCACAGAAGCCTTTAAATGCATTGATACTGGTTTCAACCATTTCCAATTGAAGTCAGCCACAATGGGCTGAAGATAAAAGCTCTGTTAGGAAGCGCAGCAGAAGGAATTCTATAGCAACCTACAAAAGCCAGGTGATGGGGGAAATTGTTGTGTTACCCACTCGACATACAATTATGCTACAAGCTCCTCCAACGCGCACAACTATCAGCCGTCCTGACAATAACCACAGAAAAAGCACAGCACAAAATCGATGTAGTCACAGACCAATAGGCTTTTCAACTACAGTTATATTTACTCTTTGAAACATTCCAAGACTAATCCTTCTTATGTTTTTATAGTTGTGTATTGCTGGTTCCAAGGCTATTTTTGTGTGTTATTTCCTATTTCCTAATTTTTTTATGTTTTATATGTGTTGCATCACAGAGAGGGACAAGGTCATCAGGAAGTCCAGCTCAGTCCTGGGCTGTTCCCTGGACACAGTGCAGCAGGTGGGTGTCCTGAGCAAACTAACATCTATGCTGGACCATGACTGTCACCCCCTGCAGGACACTCTGTCTACTCTGGAGAGCAGCTTCAGTGACAGACTTATTCACCCTCGCTGTGTGAAGGAGAGATTTGGCCGGTCCTTCCTTCCTGCTGCTGTCAGGCTGTACAATGAGAATGTGTAACAAGAACTGCTGAGTTTGTACAAATGCCACTGAAAATTCACTAGTAACTTTGTCACTAGTCACTTTACCCGTTATTAGTATTACTGCATCATTACATGTCCATCTGATTTTTCTGCCAGTCACTTTACCTGTTTATGTTGTTTTGAGGCTTATTCTGCTTATTTTCATATTCTCATATTCTCCACTGCTAAAGTACAATATACACATCTGTAAATACTTCTGAACCAAGTGCAATTATAGCCCCAGAGTTTATTTTATTTTATTCTTATCTTAAATGTATTGTCTATTATCTTAAATAATAGACTTATTTGATGTGTGCAATCTGAGCGCTCTTATTTCCTTCTTTCTCTGCTGTAATGTGCAACGATGACACTGACATTTCTCCACTGTGAGACGAACAAAGGTTTATCTTATCTTATCGTACCGCTTTCTTTATAAGCTGTGTTTGCACTTATTTTAACAGTTTCAGGAGGTGTGTTTTGAAGCACACTGTTTGTTTATGTCAGTAATGGCAATATTTATTAGACTAGGTTTCCTTCTTTCAGGAAATAAACAGTACACCTAGATGGCATATTTCTGATCAATTTAGTTCAAGTTAATTAAAAAAAAGAATGAAAATTGCCTTGAGCTGGGTCTGACTGTGTACATAGTAAAAACACCATGTATTTTAGTTGTTGTATTTTTAATAACCATGATTGTGAGTTTCAAATGAGAAAATAAATCATCAATATTACAAATTGACAGCTTCATTATTCCCTATTTTCTGAGTTAAAGACTTCTGTCAGACAATACAATGCTTCTTCTGGTGTTATCTTTCTCCACTCTTCAGGGATCTCAGTCTGGTCTTGTGCACCAAACTTCACAAGCATGTACCTAAAAAACATTAAGTCTTAGTACCACAAATATAATGCAATGATTTTACTTTAACGGCACAGCTTACTTCCAGTACAGTGCTGGGTCTGCGCTAAGTGCCTCACAACAGATGCTCATGGGGTCCGGAAGAGGGTCGTCACCGTTGACAGGAGAGAGGAAGGCTCCAACACTGAGTCCAGGGGGAAATAAAGGTTTGGGCCGATGTAGCGAGAACTTGTGAATTTCATGTTCCCTATCTTCAAGCTCACATGGAGCGCCACAAGACGGACAGCACATTTGACAACCTTTTAATCTTTCAATGAAGAAGTCTTGAGGTTGAATGGGGAGTTTGAGAAGAATATCTTGTCCCTCCACTGGTTCTGAAAATTCCTGACAAAGTTGTGATCTGATTGCAGCGAGTTCCTCCAGGAGGGAAGTCACAAAGCGAGTCCAGTCTGTGCTGATGTCAAACACTGGTCCTTCCAGAGCAGCCCGGCTGATATCAATGTCAATGTCTGCTTCAAGCGCCAAACAAACGTCCTCTAGTAGGAATTTGATTGGACTTAGCCTCCCCTTGAGGTCTTCTCCTGTCTGGCTTAAAACCGATGCAATTTTTCCTGTTATTTCCTCAAGCCTTTGCAGTCTCCAATTGTTTATAAGGTTTGATTCTGAAAGATGAACGAGTACTCTATCTTGGATTTTCTTACGTCTAAAGGTATCATAGGAAAGCAAAAAATCCACTAGGTTCTCGTAGCCATCATTTAACAGCTCTTCAAGCAAGATTTGGTAAAAGGCGAGAGGTGATTGAAACTCTGGATGTTCTTTCTGAATCTCTGCCAGAACCTTCTTTCCAAGTGGAGTGTAGACGTAGTCCATAAGTACAGGTCGAATGACTTCTAAGGTAAAAGTTTGAGCCAGTCGCTGGCCTTGCTCTCGCTTTCTAAATTGGTACATGAACTCCGCTAAGGAGGCTGTCTTAGTTACATTAATGCTTTCTAAAAGGAATTTGTCTTTGTTGTAAGTGTCATGCATCTTTTGGAAGTCATTACAAGCAACACTACACAGATACACTTTTAGATCTGCTTCGAATAATGACCATGCTTCAATCTTTTTCTCACTTAGTGTTTTCTCTATGATCTCCAGCAACTCAGTGATGTAGCTGTCAGAAAAGTGTAACTTAAGCCTGGATTTCTCTGCAAAAAACGTATTGTACCGCTCTATGATGCAAGCTGCTACTTGCTGAGCCTGTGACCTCAGATTAATTCTGTGATCTTTAAACATTTGCTTCAGTGGGCTCTGTTGTGCCGTGTGCTCAACACAAATCTGAAATCCTTCAGGCTGAGTTTGGCCAATTTTGTCTATGTTTTTCCTGTGTTTGTGGAGACCTCTGCTGTTGAAGTTCTGTTGCAGAACACCTATGACTCTCGGTGTGATGTCTTCTGTCTCAGATGGTCGTAAGTCAGAATTAGTCACAGTCCTAAGCCAAACTCTTTCAAACTCCTCTTCTAGTTGTTTATCTTCTTGAAGAGTATTAGTAGATCTGCTGTAATCTGTCAACTCACAGAGCTTTATTTCCTGTTTTTTTCTCAGCCGAGTTTCAAAGGTCTGTATCTTAAGAGAACAACAATGTTTTCCACTCACTTTCATTAATCTTTGTTTAGTCAGTTGTGTTACTTTCTCTCTCAAACCCTCTATGTTGTAGATGACCTCTGGCTTCAATGTCTCACTGTACATGTTTAAATGTTGATCTTTTACCCAATAATCCTCAAAGTGTGAAATAACAGCATCAACTTCAGTCATAACTTTGGAATGTGCTTCATCCATCAGCTCATTTAGAATGTCACTTGTGGATGTCTGGGTGGTAGAAGCAAAGATTTTCTTGATAGCTTCCATAAACCATTTGTCCATGTGCTCCTCTAATGCACTCTCCCACTGGGAGATTTCAGTGCACAGCATGGAGAAGGAAAGGGCCACGTTAGTATTCTGCAGACTAACAGAGAAAGCGCTTTCTCTCACTGCATCCCAAACAGAACACAAACGACCAATGAACAGTGGCAAACTTATGGCTTCTGAAATGTGAGAATTTTCCTTCATTGCTTTGAACAGGTTTTTCTTCAAGTCCATGACTGCATTTCCATATTGTAGACTCACAGGGTCGGATATCTGACATGTTGTTGGCTTGGATATGTATGGGATCCCATTTCTTTGTAGATTTTCCAAGACACGGTTTAACTGTCTTGAAAGTAGTATCGTGTTTATATCGTCATCATGAGATACAATTTGGCAAACAGGCATTGGTGCAAAATCCTTGACCCGCAGCAGTGCATTCACGAGAACGGTAAAAATGTTGTCAAACTTTGAGCTTGAGTCTGATGCAACATTTTCTATTAAAACATCAGATAAACCTGTTGCAACAGTCGCCATCTCATTGTCATGCACAAGAAAGTGTGTATCATTTCCAGAGCACAGGCCCTCCACATCAAGAAGCAGCAAGATGTCACACTTGAAGTCATTTTGTAGGTTAGCAGGAACACATAATCCAAGTAGATAAATGCCTCTCGTGCATCTATTCCTGTCTTCATAAAATCTCATGTTGAATATTGTAGACAGCACCTCAGGATTTCTTGTCTTGTGGGGCCCTAATGTGGTCAGGACTCGGGTTCGTAAGTGCTCTTGCGGGAGGCGGCGCCGGAGCTCTGCTAACACGCAACCTATCCACTGCACAGGGATGTTGGAAGCATCACCATCCATAATTTCAAGTGGAATTCCATAGAGCAGGAGTTCTGCAGCTAAACTTGGAAATCGCTGGACACTGTTGGATGGAGTCATATGTGTTAGCTGGTACATGAGCCCCATCTCTCGTAGGAAGTGCTGGAGCCCAAGTACTAATGGTTTTAGGTCAAGTTTTGTTAAAGCCTGACCGTCATGATTTCCTGTTGCGTGGCACTGTAGATTTTGTCGCTCACTGGGGCTACTTTTAAAAGTCTCATCTAGAGTTTCTTCCTCAAAAGAGGGTTCGGTGCAGAAGCTGTCCTCCTCATCAGATATTCCATTTTCTGCTTCAGTGGCTTGTACAGGTTTGCCATTTATACTTTGCAGTTTGTCGCACACATCCTCTGGCTCGTATCGATTTGTAGATTGAATCTGAGTAAGCTTTAGTTTCATCCAGTTGATAAAATAGGTTCTTTCTGTTATATCATTTGTGAAGAGGGCGTCTGTGAACATTTTCATAGCAGGAGTCATTGTGTAAGAACTCAGCTGCTCCAAAA